TTCTTACACAATCAGTTCTTGTTTAGTAAATCAGTCTCAAAACAAGATCAAAGACTTGTTGGCTGGATATAAGGTTTTAAAGCTTGGTAAGATGGACAGTTTTTTGCAGTGTTCACACTTTTTTGTTAAGTATATAATTCCACATGTGTTAATTTTGATGCCTTCAGTGTGAACCTACAACTTTCATAGTCATGAAAATAAAGAAAACTCTTTGAATGAGAAGATGTGTATAAACTTTTGGTCTGTACTGTATCATGTCTTCCACACAGAGTGGAAGAATAAAAGCTACAGCCTAAATCACCACATCAGCAGAAAGATAATTATTTTAGACTTAAATAAACATCTTCAATCAGACACCAGAAAAAAAAGGTCTAATCAGGTCAGTTCTAAYGTGGTTTGCACAATTATAATATTTGACTCCTGTCCAAAGAGTGCCCACAGTACCTCCAGCTGCTGGCGCAGGCTGAAGACTTCTGCACTCAGCGTGTCCTTCTCTCGAGCCAGTTTCTCCCTCAGACTCCTCTCCCTCTGCACCTCCTCCTGTGCKCCACTCAGCTCCCCATCAAACCTGCAGACATCCACAGTGAGCAGGGTTACAGGCTCTGAGGCGTCCATCAGACACACCAAAGGTAACAGGACATCATAAAGCCACATTCAGCAACACTGCCTGACCTTTGACCTTAAAGCTGGGGTGATGTCATGTCTGCTGCACTCTGACTAGTGAAGATGAATGTGTGAATGAAGTTTAGTTCAACTATCTTCAGCAGATCAAACGTTATGGACAGGACAAGACCTCAGCTTTACCACTGAAATAAAAGTATGTGTGCGTGTGTGTGTGTGTGTGTGTGTGTACGTGTGTGTGTACTGACTTCCTCTGCTTCTTCTCCAGGTCATGGTTGCGGCTCTGTTGGCCCTCCAGGTGGAGTTTGGTGTCCTGTAATTCAGACGTCAGTCTTTGGGTTTTCTTCTTCAGCTGCTGAATGTTCCTCTGAGACTCCTCGTTATCTGCCTGCAGATCGCTGATCTGCACACACAAACACACAAGCACACACACTCAAACACTTCTGATAACTGATGAGTACTCTGTCCACRCAGCTGGAAGTCAAGGTTAAAGCAATAATCCAACGTGTTGCGCAGATTTATGAACAAATCCCAGAAGTAAATTGTGTGCTGGGAGTTGTTAAACATTCTCTTAATAAACTCAGAGTGTGTAAACTCGCATGTTGTGCAGCAGAGATGTACGCAAGTAATTTTTGGCAAGTCNTATTTGTGTATAAGCTGTTTAGATTGTCAAAAAGCCTGTGTTTTTAGTGTTATTAACAAAGTTTGTGTGCTCAGACCAGTAATATTTTGGGGTCACAAGTTTTTGCCATGGATATGTAGAGAACCTTTTCATGATATGCTAATTTTTTGAGATAGGGATTTTTGGTTTTTCTTTACTTTTTGCCAAAATCATCAAGATTAAAACAATAAAAGTCTTGAACTACTTCAGTTGGTGTGCAATGAATCTAAAATATATGAAAGTTTAATGTTTATCAGTACATTACAGAAAATAATGAACTTTATCACAATATGCTTATTTTTTGAGAAGGAACTGTAAGTGGTTTAAAGACATGTTTACCACACACAAAGGACATGCGATTGTGTGTGTGTGTGTGTGTGTGTGTGTGTGTGTGTGTGTGTGTGTGTGTGTGTGTGTGTGTGAAGCTGCTGTCTTTTAGCACCGCTGCATTTCTGAGGCTGAGAGGCATTTTCAGACTAAGAGCCACTGAAACTCTTGACAGTTAAACTCAGACTGCATCAGGAAACCTGGGGCACCATCGGGAGCCAGGTCTGGAGGGGGAGCCAGTGAGCTCCCAGTGGGTGGGTCTTGGCTTTTGGGGCTCAGCAGGGCCAAGCTCAGAAGACAGACAGGATGACACCTCGATGTGGACCACCTGAGTGCTGTGAAAGGCAAGCAGCAGGTGAAGGAGGGACCCTGGCTGTGTATATTCTTGGAGACGTTAACTAGCTCTAGAGCCATGGATGGGGAGTAAGAGGTTAGAGCTTGTTTGTGAGGTGGAGTAATAACAGTTTTAGTTTGGTTTAATTTGGCTCCCTTCTCAGCACAGATTAGGATCTGGAACCATATTATGGAGATGCTCAAGGACAGAGGTGTTCAGGAACATGTGGGGATGATGAGAGGAGGGACAGTTTTTCCACATGTCCAGGGGAGTTCAGGGACATGGAGTCTGAATGGGTCACGTTCATGTGATGTACAGAAGCCGGGGCCTGGAGGTCATTTGGTGACTGTTGAGGCAGAAGTAAAGAAAAGCTCCTCTGTGGCATGTCAGGGGTGKACATGATATACCCTGAGATCCTGAAGAAGATACCTGATCAGTATCAGGAGCTGCTGATCAGATGTGATTAACTGATCATTACTGAGTCCTCCTCAAGGAGGTCCTATAGAACAACTGGAGTGCTCAGAAACCACGTGACCATGTGATCGGCTGGTGAAACCAAGGGCTAACACAAAATGGTCAAGAGTCTGGACTTACCATTACTGTACATGTTGACAACAGAGCAGAAAAAAGGACTGACGATGTAGAAATCATTAAAACTATTAATAATAATATTAATCCAATTATTATTAATATTTTACAGTTTATATAATCTATCTAATGTTTTAAATCAGAGATTCTTAACCTGTGGGCCGTGGCCCAATTG